CTTTCCCTTTTTTACCCTTCCCCGCAAACTCCCTCCCATCTGGCAACCATCAAAATGTTCTCTGTATCTGGGTTTGTTTCTGTTTTATTTTGTTCTCTAGGTTCCACATGTAGGTGAAATCATATGACATTTGTCTTTGTCTGACTTAACTCCACTCATCACAATACCACCTCAGTCCATACCTGTTGTCGCAGAGGGCAAGATTTCATTCTTTTTTAGAGCTGAGTCATATTCCATCGTATGTACTACCTCTTCTTTATCCATTCATCCACTGATGGACATCCAGGTTGCCTCCATATTTCGGCTATTGTAAATAATGCTGCCGTGAACTTATGGGTTCTCATGTCCCTTTGAAGTAGTGTTGAAGATTTCTTTGGATAAACACCCAGAAGTGGGATTACTGAGCCCTTCTTTGATCTTGTTGTAGCCTTGTTTTAAAGTCTATTTTGTCTAGTGTAAATATGGCTCCCCTAGCTGTTTAATTTTTTGTTGTTGTTGTTAACATTTTCACGAAATCTTTTTCCATCCATCCCTTTACTTTCAGGCTCTGTGTGTCTTTCCATCTGAAGTGAGTCTTGTAGGAAGCATATGAGAGGGTTTTGTTTTCTCAGCCTTTCAGCCACCCTGTGTCTTGATTGGAGCATTTAATCCCTTTACATTGAAAGTAATTGTCGATATATAGTTATTGCCATTTTATTATTTATATTTTTAATATTTTTTTCTTCTTAAAGGAATCCTTCTAACATTACTTGTCATACTGGTTTGGTGTCGATAAACTCCGTTAGCTTTTTCTTGTCTGGGGAGCTCTTTATCTGTCCTTCAATTCTAAATGATATCTTCGCTGGGTAGAGTAATTTTGGTTATAGGTCCTGGCTTTTCATCATTTTGAAAATTTCATGCCAGTCCCTTCTCGCCTGCAAAGTTTTCGTTGAAACAGCTGACAGTGTTATGAGAGCTCCCTTGGAGTTGACTAGATGCTTTTCTCGCTGCTTTTAAGATTCTCTTTGTTTTTAACCTTTGGCATTTTAATTATAATGTGTCTTGGCATGGGCCCCTTTGAATTCATCTTGTTTGGGACTCTGCGCTTCCTGGGCCGGTTCATCTATTTCCTTTGTCAGGTTAGGGAAGTTTTCTGTCATCTTTTCTTCAAACTGGTTTTCAGTTCCTTGCTCTCTTCTTCTGGACCCCTGTGATTTGAATGTTGGTATGCTTGATGTTGTCTCCGAGGCCCCTTAAACTATCTTCATTTGTTTTAGATTCTTTTTTTCTCATTGCAGGTCTGATTGGGTATTTTCTGCTACCTTTATCTTCGAAATTGCTGATTCGATCCTCTGCTTCATCTAATCTGTTGATTCCCTATAATGTATTCTTCATTTCAGTTATTCATATCTGACTGGTTCTTTTTTATGTTTTATATCTCCATTTTTATGTTTTCTATCTCTTTGCTGAACTTCTCACTGAGTTCATCTATTCTTCCCTTAAGTTAATGAAGCATCCTTATAATCATTGTTTTGAACTCTGCATCTGGTAGATTGGTTATCTCCATTTTATTTAATTCTTTTTTTGGAGCTTTGTTCTATTTAATTTGGGACATGTTTCTTTGTCTCTCCATTTTGACTCCCTCCCTGAGTTTGTTTTTATGTATTACGTAGGGCTGCTATGTCTCCCAGTCTTAGAAGAGTGGCCTTATGTAGTAGGTATCCTGTGGGGCCCAGTGGTGCAGTCTTCCCCTGAGCTCAGGTCACCTGAGCTGAGTGCTCCAGGTGTGTTTCTTGTATGGGTTGTGTGTGCCTTCCTATTTATTATAGGTGAGCCTTGGTTGCTGTTTGCACTTCAATGGGAGGGACTGGCTCAGACTGATTGGTTGTGAGGACTGGTCAGTGAGAGGCTGACCCTACAAAGCAGGATTCACTTAAGCAGAGCTCTGGTGCCCGCCCAGTCTGCCCTTTGAGTGTTTTGTCCTTGGATGCAGCCCCAGGTGGTGCTCTGGTTCAGGCCACTCAGTGTGCTGGTCTCCAGGCCTCTTGAGAGGGGTTCCACTGCAGGCCAAGTTTAGCTGCAGCCTGTGCCCCGCCTTGGGCCGCCTGGCAAGAGTCACCAAGCAATCTGCAGATGGCCGCCACCCATGCTGAGCGTGGAGGTGCCTTGAGAGCTACAAACCAAGGCGGGCTACCACTAGTGCAAGACTTGGGGCTGTTCAGCAAGAGGAACGGGGCATGCCGAGGCCAGATGCTGCCTGTTTAAGTTTTGCAAGCCTTTGAGAGATTTTAGGAAAGTCCATAGCATGAGCCAAGCAGGCCATTTGCATAGAAAAGCCACAGGAAGTGGCTGGGGTGGGTTCGCAAGCTGGGAGGGGCAGGGTCTCAAGTGGGTGGGGCGGGATCTCAGGATCACCAGGGCGGA